GAAAAACAGAAAAAAAAATTACTCAGAAAAACAAACCAAAAAATAAATTACTCAGAAAAACAGACAAAGAAATACATTTATATGTGAATGCAATACGCTTACGTAGAAATGAGTAGTAGACAACCAGTCTCCCCCAGAAATAAAGCTGAGCAAACTTAGACAGTATATTATGTAATATTAGGTAGATTAAACATTAGTATTGCATTTTATGAGCATATGAAAATATTATATGTCTTGTATAGACAGAACTAAAGTAAGTAAAGAAATCACATACTGTACAGCAGGGGTTCCCAACTTTTTTCATGTCAAGGAGCCCCACAATAAGGAACACATTAGACCACATACCCCCAATTTCAGAGGACTTTGTCTTAAGGAGTCCCCTGTGAATATTTTTTTTTATTTTTAGGTTTTAAGATTATAAAGTAAACATAAACTTGATATGTGTTACCTTTAACTCTAATGATGTCACTACAGGTGAGTCTTACCTCTGTACACATGATGAGTCCTATGAAGAAGGAGACTATAGACATGCCCAGAATCAGCAGCTCTCTGCGGTAGCCTCTCCTGAAGGTCTCTGGGTACATGTCCACCACAGCTGTCACTAAACTCTCCACACACACAAACTGCAAAATAACAAAGATGTTACTCCTATAAAATGGGAAGATAATAATCTGAATGGACTGATCAAACAGCATTGTTTATTAATAAATTAGATGACAAGACAATATGGTGTTCAAATTGTGATCATGAACACCATCATAAATAAAAATACACGCTTGGCTTTTGCTTTTACAAATGTGAACATGAGAAATACTGATACATAATCCTACATGCTGAATAAACATTACAACTGTTGTAGGCTAAACAGAGTAAGTTGAGCCAAAACATCAAGTCTCCAGTGGTCCTCACCTGACTGTCCAGACCGAGGAAGATGAGCATCATAAAGAAGAGACAGGCCCAAAGTGGAGACAGTGGCATCATAGTAACAGCCTTGGGGTATGCAATAAATGCAAGACCAGGACCTGCATCACAAAAACATCATACACACGTCTTTTTAGAGCAGGTGAGAGTTAAGTTCTTTTGCTTTGCTTTTCTATTACTATTGTTTTTTGCTTAAAGCTCATCTATCTGTTTTGTGTAATCAGCTGATTGCAGGGCTTTTAGCCATGCATTTGACAGTGCCTGTAGTTTCATAGCAGTCTTTTAGGAGCAAACATAAATAGAAACCCTAGTAAACCATTGTCATTTGTACTCATCTGTATGGAAGTATACTCTCTTGGTGGAGCTCTACATTATTGTTATTTTTATTATTAATTTATACATCTGATCTGCTTTTGTGTGGTCGTTACTTTTTGTCTCTCCTGTTAAATGTTTTTTTTTGTTAGTTAAAAGGGGCATCCTTAATCATTAGGCTCTGAGTATTGCTCTGTATTATTATTTAAATGAAATAGAAGAGTAAACAACAGAGGAGCAGAAGTGGCACAATGCCGGGTCTACGGGGCCATGAATGAGATGAGATACTCTTGTGAAATAAGACTGGTTCAAAATATGAGGTTGCATGCCGTTTATTTTTACTTCTACATTTGGTAATAGACCCTTAAAAACACATTATTCAAAACATTAAGCTCTGCCCTCACCATGCACTCAGACAAACATTTAAAATCTCTTGCTCTGTCACATTCACTAAATCATTCATACTGACTTGAATAAATCATAATGCGATGGTCTAAGAGCCTAGGTAAAGAGTGTGGAGTTATATAACTGGGTATGTTTATCCATTTTAGCACAATATGGTGGATAGGGGCAGAACAATTCAGACAGGCTTTCTCTGGCCTATCTGCTTTAGTGTATAGCCACATTACAGTTCTGGAAGCTGGTACTTAACTTAAGAAACACAAATGTTATTCTCTCACCAGATTCTGCCACAGCCTCGATGGGAACATTTTGTTCGTAGGCCATGAAGCCGAGCACAGAGAAGATAGCAAAACCTGCCACAAAGCTGGTGCCACTGTTCAGACAACACAGCATGAGGCAGTCCCTGAGGAGCAAGACAGAGAGAAAGAGAAGGAGATCACACTTACTGTAAAGCTGTCAGTGGACCTTACACTAGAGGCAACACAGACTTTGTGCCTCATACAGTCTCATGTTGTGTGATGAATGGAAACTAAAATGGTACAGAATTGGAAATCCATCCAATTTCATCAATCAATTGACGGTACACGTATTCTTATATTCTTTATGTTGACAAATATACAGTGTATACATACTAACATTTTAATACTAAAACATTCATCCATTGTAGCCATATTATTAACTTACCTGTAGCAGTTATTGTTGTAGGCATTGTAACTTCCCAGAGCAGTGAGACAGCCCAAGCAAATAGCATAAGAGAAGAAGATTTGGGTTCCAGCGTCCACCCATACCTGACGGAAGATGGGAATAAAGATAGAATACATATACAGATGGCTAAAAAATTGAAGTAAAACAACCAACATAAAATGTCCTTGTAATTGTTCTTCCAGCAGCCAGAACAGGCGTAAAGTCTCTAACTGTACTGGAGGGATGCACACAATTCTTCAAAATGATATTCTCTCATTTAGTGTTGGAGAGTGCTGTCTAACAGGTTGGTCCAAAATCCCCCATAGATGTTAAATCTGGTAAAGATCTGGTAAATGTTATAACCTAGCCCCATTTATTGGAGAGATTTACATGGAACTTAAAGATATGAAACGTAGCGACAGATAGAGATGCAACAAAGGTGTGTTTGTATAGTAAGCATTTTAACCACTCACTTGTTTAGATTTCTCCTTTAATCTGTCTGTACATGCACCCAACACGTACACATATTTTATACACAAATCAAAGTTCCAGAAACTTTTCAGGCACCTGATAATTTGTTACGCTCTTGATCCAGCTTACGGTTTAATTTCCACTTCATCAGTGCTTCTCAACCTATTGTCACAGACAACATCAATTCTTTGTGAGATTTTTTTAAGTTAATTAAATCACAGACTTACAATAACTAGAATAGGCTTTTCCATTTACAAGAGATTACCATGATATGTCAAGAGATGACTTTTTATCTTCTCTAATGAAACCCCACTTTTCTTTTGTTACCCCTCATCTACCTGATTTTCATCCTCTCAGTGACTTTGTAATGAAATTATGGCTCAGCTCAACCGATTTCTTTCCCCTCTGAGAGGCACACAGTGGAGCAGCATGAATCATGGATTACCATCCAAAAGTAGATACAGATAAGTCTTCCAGCACCTAAATATTAATTTGTGCTTCACTAACTCCATTCCAGTCTACTGTTTGGTGGGGATTAATGGAGAACAACTACAGTATAATATAAAGTTTATATAAACTTACTACAAGGATAGGATGCCTCTATATGACATCCATAAACAAACAAGACCATCAGTGAGAAGACTGGCTATAGCAGTTCTGCCACCGGATAAGATTCAGTAAGATTCCACTTGAAATCAATGAAATGACACGGTAGAAACACTACCGCTTTTGTCCACTGGGGCTGCCAGAATGAACAGAAAGTGAAAGTTATTTGTAAGAGCTTTGAATATTCAATATTATTTACCTCTCTAACTCAAACAGCATAGTGAGTGGGGGATGAATGTTTGTTGAGGGTTAAATGTTAAAAAAAAAAATGAAATTACATTTAAAAACTTGAAACTTCCCCCTGGATAATCTTCAGAACACTTAAAGAACAGTTTTTCATGTGAACTATTTTTTCTTCTGAATTGAGGTCTATTATAGAACTATCTGCATAGCTACATACCACTAGGCTTTTTAGCCACATTAGGATTGGATGAAGACATTCTTGTCTCCCTGAGGTAGAATTGTAATAACTTTGGTGATCCCCTGACTTTCAATTTAGCATTATCATCATGTCCGATACCTTGGTTTCTTACCAAATACATGCAGAACTAATGACAGTCCTATTAGTGGCTTAGTGCTAATACGTAAATGTACGTAAATTATGACACACAGAAATAAGACAGTGAATATTGTAAACATTATACCTACGTACCATTAGCATGTTAGCATTTTCATTGTGTTTTTAGGGTCACAGCTTATCCCACTACACACAGGACGAAGGGAAACATCTTAACCCCTGTTTTAGTGCATAACAATTAAGTGTAACATTGTTAGTTTTAGGCCTAAATGTTTTGTGATAAGTAGTCTTTGTGTAAATATAACCCGACCTTAATCACCTGTTTTAGCCCAGTCACGTATATTGTGGAAATGAGTCACAGTACTTTTGATTCATGGGCTTCATGGGGATTTACACATGTTAAGATTCTTCACTGAGACAGCAGTAAAAATGTAGCATCATGAAATTAGTTTGTAGTGCAGCACAGGACCCTAGAACCCACAGGATAGCATGGAGTGTTAGCGAATTCAAACGTAATGCAGCATGGCTCTTTGAAAACTCTCCCACATCACCATTGAGCCACTAATCTCATTTCCCCACCGAGAAACAATTAACAAACGCACGGTCTTCGCTCCCTCCTGGGAGTAACCACGGTAACTTCTGTGACCTCACAAACACAGGACTGTTCCTGTGGAAGAACAGGCCTTTCTTTTCTAATGTTCATTAATGTTCCCTTTAGTTCACCCTCGGCTGATGGCCGCACAGCGCAGTGAAACCTTAAAGGCCCAGGCTCAGAAAGAATCACTTGTTGATGTTGTGCCTAATTTGGCCCGGCATGTGTTTGGTTATGTTGAGACTGTGGCTCCAGGAAACGTTTCTACTGTGTGAAAGCTGGATGCTATTGACTGTAAGATAATGTCCTTGTAATGTAAATGTTCCACTCTTGGTGCTCCTCACGTCCCTCGCTTTGTATAAATGAAATCCATAGGTGTTAGATACTTATATGTGAAGTGCCTCATTAAGACATTTGGCTTAAATGAATCAATAAGATTTCACCCACCCACCTCGGAGCCATAAATAAATGTAATTGTATCTTTACTGGACAATCATCACGTTATATCACATTTTACAGATGGTGCACGCCTACAACATTAAGTCAATGAGCGATGTTCTTAACCTCTGATAAAAAATCATACATTTTGTTTAACTTAATGAACACCTACAGGCATGTTTTAAATGTTCACTGTTCACATTTAGGAAGATCTATTGGCAGAAAATAAATATAATATGCATAACTATGGTTTCATTAGTGTATAATTACCTAAATATATAAGAATCGTTACGCTTTTGTAACCTCAGAATGAGACTTGCCAGTATTTTTTCCATGTTGAACCACCATGTTTTTACAGTAGCCCAGAGTTTACTGTCAATTGTTCATCATAATTACCTACAAAAATTATATCTATTCACTGTCATTGACCGTCAAATATTTTTTTCATTTTAAAAATGTCTCCTACTACAAGTGCATCATACATACACTTCTGAAACCCACATTTAATGTGAGCACAGAAGAAGGTGGAGGTACTATATTGTGGATGACCACCAAGAATATATTAAAGAGAAAGGTAAGTATTCTGGGATGTTGTTGCCAAGTACATGGTGTCAATGAGAGTTACTCTATAGAGATAGTTGGGTGGGATAGTGATAGGCGGGGGTTTAAAGGGCATTGAAGAGAAACATGTAGCTAGGTTGAACCAAAGAAGAGTGCAAAGGCCTTGCAATACGAAAACACGGTGATAAAAGACTTCATGAGAGGCAGTAATACATAACAGTGTATTGTAGAGTTTTGTTGTTGTTATTTTGTTTGTTTGGTACAATTTTCTCCAGGTATTTTGAGTATTTAAATAGAAATAAGGTATTAGCCAATATGCACAATATTGGTTTACTGATCATTACACTAGTTGTTCATGGAAAACCCCTTAACCTTAACTGACCCTCTAGTATGAATTTATATGTTCTTTTTTTTTTTTTAGCATCATCCTGGTTTTGAATGGAAAATTCAAAAACATTACACATTGTCCAGATTCGATATCGGATATCAGCCTTTTTACAGAAAACAATTAAATGTTTATTAAAGTGGCTATAACAAATATTTTTATATCCACAATGGATCACATACGTTCTTTGTACTTATTTTGTATCAAAATTGATTTTTACTGTTTTGGTTCATCCCTCTCTCTCACCACTCTCAAAGCTTTCTTTCGGCGGCAGCAGGCAACTATTTTGAGTGAATATGCTCTAAAACTCCACTGTACACTACTTGCTCAGCACCAAACGGCAGACACACAGAGTTAACAAATAGTAGCCGAATAAAGAACCAGATATTTTTTTCAGGAGTTATCTCAGAGCTAAGTGGTGCTTGAAAGAGATCCAATAACGGAATTAAATATATAGGTTATATTCGTATATATCTGCTGGATGCGTAAATAGGCAACTGCTTTCTAACACATTCATCATATTAGCTTCATGAGGGGATAATAAGTATTGTTTCAGCTTTTTATAAGCGGCAAAACATTAGTTATTGCAGGTGTAAGTTGTGAACTCAACAACAAACCCTGGAGGGACCACTTGTACATGAACATATAAGCTTTTAACAAAAAAGTAGGCTAATCTCACATTATTATCTTGCTGATGTCTCTTTTGAAAAATAAGGGTACCACACAACAACATCCTGGGCCTTACTGTTTACTGAAGATATTCTGATGCTGAAAATAAGTAAAAGTTAGAAGGTAGGTTGAGACAATAGCTTTGGCACTGGAGTAGCTGGGGAAAAGACACAAATAGCAACACATTGTCAGTTACGGTAAACGGAAAAATAGGTAGTATGAGAGTGTGAGAAGTGTGGAGAGGAGGGGTGATGCACAGTGCAGGGTGGAGGGTGAGAAGGACGGAGAAAGCCAGGGAAAGAAAGGTATAGGAAAGAAGAGAATAGAGGAGGCATGATGAAGTTCAGGGGTGTAAAAGGAGCGGGTGACACACAGCCACACACACTCTCCACACAGCCTGGTGAACAGAACAGAGCCCTTGTTGTCCCTGAGGAAGCTAATTTAACATTGGTGTCAGAAGTAATGTCTTCCTCTGCCCAACAGCAGCGCTTCTCTATCACCCTCCTTCATTCTCTCTGTGCATCTGTTTGTGTCTTTGTTTGTCCATCCCTTTTTTCTCACTCATTCACTTCCTTTCTGTATCACTGCTTCTCTTTGTTTAACTTTACTAAAGTCACAGATGCAGCAATCGTCTCACTGGAAAACAGCTGGAGGGTCTACTGAATACAAGAACATGTAATCTAACAGCCTGTTATGGGCTTACTTTGTACATTACTGAAATGCATGGATATTAATATGAAAAATAAGTGGCACTGCATATAGGCCTACTGCAGTGTATCATCGAAGCTAGGAACATAACATACTGTATGTCCTTAACACCTTTTTTCACCACAAGGAGCTGCTTTTCCCAACAAGTTGTGTAACAGAACAGACGGCCTTGTCTGTCTGTAGTCTACATTTACAGACTGGTTAGAAAACAGGCACTAGTATCACACTGAACTGTGCTAGGCTGATGCCTTAGTCTTCAACTCAAATGACCTGCTTTAAATCCGCTTGCTGGCTGCACCTTTCTCTGTTTAGTTTCATCCTTTCTACCAAAAATTTTAACGCTCTCTATCTCTCTTGCTCTCTTTCTCTGTGCTTGAGGTTGGCCTAGATGGGATGTAGATCAAATGAATGATTCATATTTGATATTATTATATATATATGTTATTCCTAATTCCTAAAAATATTCATACTGGTTTCATACTGGTTTAAACAATTCAATAGTCCCATTATTGCTGAGGAAGAGTTTTGTGCTAAAGGAATTAAAGGCATGTACCAAAAACAGGCAGTTCAGTGATTAAAGTAAATAAAAGCCTGGGCTTTTATTTGACGTTTTAATGAATTAGGTTTCTTGATTTCATACAAAATGTATGTAGGATGTAATTTCCGCAAAAGTCGTGTTTGACTGCTAAAATGACAACTATAGGTAGTAGATTGTATTAGCTGTGGCAAGCTAGCTAGCTAATTATGTTATTATCTGTGGCAAGCTAGCTAGCTATGAGTTGGCTGAAAACATTGACTCCAGCTGACTTTTTAAGATTTCCAGCTTACTCTTTTAAAAACAAATGACCAATAAAGTAAAACACGTCTTAAATGTGCACTTGAAGACTATAACATGATGTTTTTCTAGAAGACATGTCCAGGGAAAACTTACTCCTAGGCCTCGAACATAAAAACAGGTTACGACTTTAGCAATTTAGTATGCAAACGATTGCAGCTCACGTTAGAGCAGGTGAACACACTGTGTCACCTCTTTTTTACAAATTTTCTCGTGTTTTTGGTTATGGCAAAAAAAAAAAAAAAGACTATTTAAATGTACAATATCCCTCTGACTACAATCACATGCATACAACTACAACGTGCAGGTCTGCTGTGTCAAGTTACAGTGGTTAAGATGTAATTGGCTGTTTGGGGAAGTAGTTTAAAAAACGGTCAATTTTGAACTCATGTCAGAAAGATTTCAGATGTGAATGAACTTTTCACATTTGTCCTCTTAATTAACTGTACAACAAACTTTCCTGAAATGTCTCCAACTTTTTATATCCCCAACACCTGCAGTCTTACAAGCCTTATCTGCTGGTAAATGCTTTTTGAATGAAGGCTGAAATAAATGTCTGGGACATTGATATAGAGACAAAGTTTTCACACAATTTTTTCCATAGTACAAAATTTGCATTTCAGAATTTCTCATTTCACATTCAGCTTTATGAGTGATAACTAAAAGTATGTCAGTGTGTTCTGATCTGTTTTTCTCACCCAAACTCTCCATCTATCTTGATTCAGTTGTCATGACACCCCATCCACTGACATTTTCTAGTGCACTGTTGCCTAGCGACCCAAGCTGTCTGCCTTTCCAGACAAGGTCAAGGAGTATGCTCTGTGTGACTCTGTGTCTGTCTGTCTCTATGAGTTATATGTTAATGCACCACCTATATTAGCCTCCAATCCTGATCTTTCAACATCTCTGGGTCCTGGAAGCTCACTGTTTACCTGATCCTTAATCATCTCATCACCAGCATGAAGTGTCAGCTCTGCTATGACAATCGTGGCTCCATATTAAGCTGTAATATCACTGCTGCTTGAGTGAGACATATAAATGCAGCCAAATGTTTATGACCAAATGAATTGTTGCAATTGTTGCCTATTTTAGTCTTTTGCTATACAAAGAAGAAACCATTTACCATTTAGCAACCAGCTTCTTTCTACATAAAATGGCGAAACAAGCCCGTGTTTTGTGTATTCTTTACATGAAAGTGTTTGTGTTTGAGTACAGCACATAAATAGTGATGGGTGTAAAAAGATTAAAAATAAAAAAATAAAGGGCTGATCCCCCATCGCATTATAGTAATAACAACACCACCTGTCCCTCTGGCAGCTACTCAGCTCCAGACAGGTGGGTGTGAGGCAGGGGTATAAATTCATTCTCATGAGTCGTCTCTTTAACCCTGACTGCTTCACTTTGGTACCTTCTCTCTTTCATAGGTAAACTGACAAAAACAGTTAGTTTTAGCACAATGCAAGTCGATCGATCCAATTAATATTGTGCTGCCCTAAGCTGCCATTAGGAAATACCTGAATTATAAGTTGAGGACACAAGAACAAACAAGGGAGTAAACACAGATTGATTTCTGATTCAACTTGAAAAGGTGTATGATGTACAGTATTTACCATGTCTTATATAAGTGTCTTTGACGTGAAACATCCCAAAGTCAGTATCCAACATTTGCCGGCAGCAGCAAGAAACATAATAGCAGCCACAGAGTAGAGCCGTATTTGTAGACATTACGTGCGCCATCTACAGGAAAGGACAGGAATAACTTCTGCAACCATGACACATGAGCCACCTGCAACCAATAAGTGTTACAACTGTAGTTTGTTTTTCTTCTTTATATCTGCAATGTGTGTGGATGTATGAGTTTTTTTTTTTAAATTTAAACACTGGAAGATTTTAAACTGCTATGAATGACACACGAATGACTCTGACCTCCATAAATATCCCTCTGGTTAATTTCAAAAGGGGACGAAGTGAGATTATATGCATACAAAGAAAGATAACACTGTAGCTGTATCATTAATCACCTACAGGTGACACAAGTGTATAGCAAGAAAAATAGCAACGCCTATTACTTTTCTTACCTGTTGGTGGCAACATCTCAATGGCCCTTAAACTTATTTTATATTTTTGAAGGAGGCAGATTATTTTTACCCATTTACTAGCAGAAGAGGGGTGCAGAGGGCCCAAGCCTACCTGAGGGTCAGAAAGACGTGAAATGTCCGGGTAGAGGTAGAACTTGATGCCTTCATATGCTCCTGGCAGAGTCACTCCTCTGATCAGCAGGACCAACAACATGACGTAAGGAAATGTAGCTGTCACATACACAACCTGCAGGTATAGACATGCACAGATTAGGAATATTATGTATGTACAGATTTCAGAAAAACACAGGTGATGTTGAGTCACTGTCAGAACTTGCAGAAGTAGTTACATACATAACTTGATATGATGCATGCAAAATAATGTCAAAGTCAAGCTGTGCAAAGCAAAAAAAACCTGCCAACAATAGTCACAATGTTTAGCTCTAACCAACATGGCCACCTCCTCATCCATTGCTTCACAAGTACAGGACAGGAACTGGAGGGAAAATGTTGCTGTTTTGTGGCACCCTTACAGCTCAATAATAAAAAACACAACTTCTAAGACCTAAAGGTGAGAGGGCATGACAGTAATATAACAACACATGTCCAGACAGAAGGGGAGAGAAGAGTGGGAAGATAAGTGAGGAAGATGAAGGACATAACTGCAACTGACATTCTTGCTGTTGCACACACACACACAAACACATATGTGCCACAATGTGAAAGTAAAGCAACCTTCAATTACAGTTTGAACTGGACACAGTTTTGAATTTTTGCTTTAGCTCTCCTTGAATTCCTTAAAGAGAAACAATCTAAAAAAGGAAAAGTCATTGCCATCTTTGCTACAACTGATCACAACTTATGCAATAATGTACAATAAGTAATACCATAACTTCTAACAAGTTGTCACAAGTAAATACATGTATTGCTTTGTTTTAGGGGTCACAAGCCAAAAGGTTGCAAATGGCAACAGAATCCTTTTTAATTAATTTGTAGCCTGTTGTTTGCCTGAACATGAGTTTACCATTAACCAGCAGTTGATGACACCATTTACAGGAATATCTACTAATATACTCTTTGGAGTTAAACGTGTGTTTATATACATCAGGTAGGGTATCATGCACAGCAGTGGAGTCAGCTCCACAATAGCAACATACAGTACCTTCAGTACAGTAGCTACCACTTGCTAACCATCAAACCAACACTCCCTTTTTTATTGAACTATTCAGGTTTTGCAGAATTGTTCTCGACATCTCAAGACTCTTAGAAACCCCTTGAACAAAGACCCTGGCCTCTTGGAAGGCAGAGGCGGGCAACATACATCCCCTGGCTTGCTGGCATCCAGTCAAAGTCCAATTGAGGACAGAACAGGACAGAACAGAGCCGGGCCAGGAGACTGAAAAGAAAAGAAGGCTCCTCTGGCCCCGTCTCTTAAACTGGAGAAGCCCAGAGGAGTGATGCTGGCAGTGTGGGAAAATGTGCTTCTCTTTGAAGCACGAACAGGAGTGCATGAGTGCACACACACACACAAATACGCAACTTCATTCACAACATTAAAATGGGTGTGCACATACTACAGACACAGATAATGTGGACCATTCACACATACCGTCCTGAACACAGACTCATAAACACATGTACAATCCAATTACCCATACACCCCTGGTCACATTACTGTACAGCAGTTTCATGAATAGAGACTAAAGATCTGCTTTACTGATTATCCTGCACATCCTTCACCTTAAAAACCGGAATCAAAAGTGTAAAAATAAATTGAACTACGGTAGTGTTTGAACAGTAAGGACCAGTGAGACTTAATGAGACTGTCCTGTCTAAGCTCTGTTAATCCTAGCGTTGCCTACAGGGAAAGTGTGGGAAAAAGTTGTCTCCTGCCCAGCATATCCCTTCTTTAATTTGTCAAATAAAACGATCACACATCCTAAACCTTCTCTCGCTCTTTCTCTCCATCTCTCTGGAGATGAAAAGAACAATATTCAATCTCTCCATGAACCTTTGATGCTCCACATGCTCCTTCCAGCTCACCACGGGTAAACATTTAAGCCACCACAAATTTACTGGTCAAACTTGCCCCTGCCTCGCCGTAAATCTAACAGGAGGGCTTAAATGTGAGAATGGCTAGCAAACATGGCCAACAAAAGCAAACAGCTTAGCAGAGTCTGAACTGAATGGGCTGTAGGGTCTGTGGAGAAGAAAGCACCTCTCTCTTGCAACAAGCGGGCTGTGGTTAATTTCTCATAGCGGGAGAGAGAGAGAGGCAGCAGAGGCGGAGGCTGAGGATATACTCTGCATTCTCCTCATGAACGCTCTCCTTTCCTCCAGTGAATACAGGAATCAATCTTGGACCGGCTGCTAAAGCCCAGCCATGAAGAAGCCTTCTCCCCTCTTACTTCACAGCCAGACAAAAGACACTTCAGGGAGATATAGGCATTGCCGCCTAGTTGTTTTTCCCCCCCCACCATGTAGAATGTGAGCCCATTAATTTTTCCACACACCTCTCCTCTTTTCTCTGTTTCCCTTTCCTTTCTTCCCTCTCTTCTTTCACTCTATCTCTATCTCTCTACTCATTCTGGCTCATTGAGTCTGAGGGGAGTTTCCTAAGGGCTTCTGAGCACCCAAAGCAAGATGCAGAGTCCTCACTGTCCTCCTCAAGGCTGCTACAAGAGCCTCGAGGACATTAAAATGGAAAGGGTTATGAGAGGAAAGGTAGAAGTGGGTGCTGTAGGCTTTGTCCTCTGTTTGCATGGGGGAATGCATGTGCTTTCCTGTGGGGAAGGTTGTTTTGAGGACAAGAATGGGAAAGTGCTTTATCTTGTGGTTGCTTAGATGGAAGATGGAAATTAAAACTGCTGAAGTGAATAAAAACTGTCCGTAACAGCAAAGTAGCATGCTTAATTATTTATATACAAATTCCAGCATCATTGGTTGGATGGTGTGATAACAGTATTACACATACAATTTTCACATCACGTGAAAACATCATGCAGTACGACATGTGGTGCTAGCTCTTTGCATTGCAATAAATAGAAACCACACAGACTCTCTTACTCACACGCACAACAGTGCATTAGTGCAACCATGCATTACTCTGTCTCACCTTGCCAGTTGACTTGGGTCCCTTCCAGATGCAGAAGTAGCAGATGAACCAGGCCAGGGCCAGACACATGGCCAGCTCCCAGCGCATTCCCCCCATGTGCTCAATACCATCTGATATTTTCAGTACTCTGCGTCTGATTTGGTACAGAGAACACAGATGATCAGAGATTTATAATTTGATTTAGTTCATTACTCTTGTTTGACCTGAAAAAGGTGAAGCAGCATTGAACATAAAAAGTAAAGCCTCTGCTGACTCTCCGAGATCAGTCTGCAGGCAATAAGTTGTTGCTTTTACTCATAGCGAGTATAATAGTGCTCAATATAAATAGTAATGTTATTTTTGCTGGTTGACCATAGTCCCAAGGAATATCAGTGAATGCATTCTCCAACTCCACATAGCACTTCTACTCCTCAACTTTAAACCGTGTCAGTGGTTTGAAGTTGGCATATACTAATGGTCCAATATAATGTGCACTGAAACAGATTTTTCAACATTTTTCCGAACCATTTCAGCTAAAAGAACTGTTGGAATGGGGAAACAAACCTATACTATATTTCACATTTGGCCTTGATCACTCAAGGCCTTCATTGTCTTTTACTGGTTCTCCACTGCAGAGGAGCACACTAAAATTAATTCACGTACCTGCAATGTCACTCAGGATGAGGGTATCCTGTCACAATATGGTAATAATTATTACATGACTAGTAATTGGGGGCTCGTCTATTAGTCTTTTTGGTTAGATTAGAAATTAGATTATTTGGTTAAATCTCATTTAGATTGCTGATTTGGTGTTTTGTTTACCAGCTGTTCTAGTTTTTGGGAGATACACCTTGTGTTGTAGTGGTTATCTTGGAAGCGTTGTTTTTGGCCTAGAGACTTTAGGGTACTGAACAGAAGGTACATGTTACTGACTGGATTTGTTGTGTGAGTTTTATGTATGGCGTTTCCCCTTTGGGACTCGTCAGTTTTTTTTTTTTTCTGTAGTGTTGTGGGCAAACGGGGTTGAGAGCGGTTGTCTCGGGAGCACAGCTTTAGTCCCGGAGAGGTTGCCTATTGCGGGTAGCCTTATCCGCGCTAAGGTATTCAGTGTCATAAGTACCCGCCGCGGTCCCCGCATGAAGACTAGGGTTGAGTTTTAGCAGTTTGGTTAGGCAGTTAGGGGGAAATATAACCACTATACTCTCTCTCTTTTCTGCAAACTCATTCATGTCCCATTAATGCATGTTACTAACTTCCACTTCTTTCCTGGAGGTTCTTGTGCTTTCTCATCCTAACAGGTTCTCATGGATCCTGGTGGAGCGTGCTTGCTTCATAGTTGGTTACTAGTTGGGTCTCTGTAAATAATGTTATAGGAGTTTGGTCTAGACCTGCTCTATTTTAAAAGTGTCCTGAGATAACTTCTGTTATTGAATGGCATCTATAAAATAAAATTGAACTGGAATTAATACTTAACTTCAGATCAGTTATTGCTGAGATTGAAACTGTGCTGAACAGTATAAATACAAACCACCAGAGGGTGCTCCACAATATCAAGAGCAAGTACGCCGGGACAAACACTAGGTGCAAAAGAATATTGCAAAAAACAAAATCATCAATCAAAACACAACTACACACATAAGAGTTAAATATTAAGTAAATGTATTTTACATATAATTTCCAATGCATCAAGTACAAATTACTGTAAGGTCTGCAATTGTATATATATGAACTTGAAGTTATAAACCTGAGAAAGATGTATTGCACTTTAGAAGAATGGAAGTCAGTGTAAGTCCAGTAGGAACTTTCCTGCTGGGCAGTAATATTTCCTGCGATAATATAGAAATACAAAAGCTTTTTTTTACCAGGGAATAAAAACAAGCACGTTCTGGGATAGTTTTTCTGTATTTTTTTTAGGTGGGAAAAGAAATGTATAAACTGTGCTATATACAGTATAGTTACAATATGCTTATACATGTTTTGAAATAAAAGGTGTTAAGACATACCTATTAGGGTACATTTAAGTATTAGTTATTCAGGAACAAACAAGAAGAGAAAAATAGAGCATGAAATTAAATGATAAAGAAATTTAGTAAAAGTTGTAAAATAAGAGATATGTACACATAAAAATGTATAGGAAAAATGGTATGTAAAATAGTAATGAGGTGTAGCGATGAAGAATTACAACACTGGTTATAATCACCTGTTACAATGTGTGAGTGTTCACCATCCTGTGTGCCTTTAACACCTGAAAACGTGAGAGAAACCTTGTTGAGCGGCTGTAATTAAGACAGTGCCGTGTTCAGAGCTTTATTGCGAGTTTAATTAGAGAGTAATATAAAGCGTCACTGGTTAAACCCATTTTACTTTTACATTACAGTTAAGCAAAATGGATCTGGAAGAAGCCTAGAGGGCTGAAGTTCATCATTTAAGTGAGTGTTCTACCACTATACTTCCTGAGATCGGTTATAACAGCTCATGGAGCCCTAAACTGTGGCAGAACAATATAAACAAAAACCACCAGAGGCGCTACACAACCACTAGTTGCAAAGAAATAGTGCAGATAAACAAATATCAAAATAAAAAAAACAACTCCTAACATAAGAGTTAAAAGTTAAAAAGTAAGACCTCAGCAGCCTCCCACTGGATGGTTCACACTGCAGCAGAGTGGGTTAAAACAGTTCGACCTACATAAATAGACCTGAAACAGAATAGATCTTTGTAAACATGTATCCCTTGCAGGTGGTGTTCTTATAATAAATAATAATAATAATAATAATAATATAATAATAATAATAATAATAATAATAATAATAAATTTTTCCCTGTAACATCATCAGATCTTTGGTACGTGGGGGATGATATCATTTTAAACACGATTATATTTTGTTGGGTGCAGTATTAGTGGGTTGTAAAATGTATGGATATGTAAGGGAAAGGAGGGGAGAGTGTTAGATCTTATAGAACTTAATCCTGTGGTTTACATGAGTGTGTGGCTGTTTGGGCCAGTGGAAGCAGAGATTAGACAGAGTCCAGATCTCCTCAGGAACCATGGAGAGTCTGTGACAGCTGGGCCTGAGAGAAAGTATCAGTTATTCAGTGATAATCCCATGCCAACATAGTGACCTACGAGGATACTTTAACAGGAAGTTCATCCTAAATTTAACGACAATAGCAACAACTATACTAGAAATGGCTAATAATAATGACAATGATGATGATGATGAAGACAATATAATATCACTCTTTGCTTTCTCCCCCAGAGTTGCTACCTTCAAATATAAAACTGCACAAGTGAATGGAATGGTAAGAAATATTTATATTTTATATTATATTATTTACAAAGAAATTAAATTTCAGCACCTGAATCCCGCTGAGTACTTAGTCTACTAGTACTGATAATTCGGCTGTTACTTAGTAGCTATACAGTTAAAGTTGCACAATACTGAATATCATATGACATCTTTCTGATACTGAGATGTCAGTAGTTTAAAGTGTTTGTTCTCATTATGTCAGTGTATACATTTGTTTGTGTTTTTCCATTGGTAGACACTAATGTGGTACAATGCGTTAGATCAGTCACATAAATAATGTGTTTTCCTGACTTACTAACAGATTAGCTACAGTTCATCACAGGTGCAGCACTTCCTGTTATGCTTTCAACACACTCAACCTAAGTGTGTTAAGAAGTTGCATAGCTGTAAAACAGAACGCTAATCCCAATTAACTGTTGTTGTTACGTGTGAGTTTGGGCATGAGGCAGGCACCATTTTGATCTAAGCTTTTTTAGACTTCTCACCTGCTTATAAATATCTCCAAGCTTCTATATTAATCTAATTTAGAGCTCAGCTCTCACATCCTCATTGTGCCAGATGCCCCACATAAGCGAGTCTGCTCTGACCAGTCAATGATGCTAGAACAGGTTTTAATGCCTCATTTTATAAATATTTGTAGTTGTACATAAGCCTTTGGATTAGTTTGTTATTAGGTATGTTAATTATTCAGTCTATCTATCTATCTATCTATCCTTCTATCTATCTATCTATCTATCTATCTAGACTAGAGGGGAAGAATGTGATAAATATATTTGACGTAGAAAACCTGAGGTCTTGCTGTCACTTTTGAAAGCTAAGGTGAATTGAAGGAGACAGGTAGCACCTCTAACGTGCGGCCTGACTCCCAGACAACCTGCTCAACACCTTTGACTTGCGTACGAGGTGTGAATCCAATTTGTGAGGATTGAAGATTAGTAAGGGCCTAACCCCTCCGGTTTAACGGCTTGCTAGTGACAATTTTTGGATGCTAAGCAGATGAACACAAGCTCCTTGGTCTGGAAATCCCGCCTGTGGGAACTGGCATGCTTATGAAAGCTGCATGACAGATGGTTTCCTGTTTGTAGGAAACATCCAGGGCATGGTTGTATTATTATTACACATTGCACGTTATATCACTCTTGCATCTGGTGTCGACAGTTTCAAACTTTTTAATTCCCTCATAGTCTCAAAGGGTTGTGTTAGACCAGGAGACCAGAAAAACACAGCACATAGAAGTAAGAGGGAAGATCCATGACTGCAAAGTCATTCAATTGAATTTTAACAAATAATTTCAATAATAATTAGTAAGTTTAATAATTAACATCATATCTGATTGAATCAAAACGGGACTATAACTTAAAGACAACCATGAACTCACTCCATATTACACCTGTGAAGCGTTCCACTATGTATATTTCATTGTCTTATATAACTATGTACTTTCCTTATATTAATTATATATCAGTTTAATATAAGTGCTTCTGATGTACTATACATTTGTACTAGAGATTTTAGGACTAGGACTTAAATCATAGACAAGACATAAAGCCCTTTTCTGGTCCACCGGCCACTCAAAGCACTTTACAACACTTGTCACTTTCACACACACCTTCATACACTATTACAGAGGTTGATAGAATGCTTCATATGCAAAACGCTCATTATGATACTATGCTCACCCATACACACACACTCAC